GGATTACAGCAGCAGTGTCAGGGTGAGAGTCTCCTCAGGAGCTGTTATATCAGGCTGGAATAAGGCTGAGATCAGGATCATCACAGGCTGCATTATCTCTGTGATCCTGTTCTCTGTCGCCATGAACATGATCAGGAAATCTACGGAACCAGAGTACAGAGGGTCTAAAACAGAAACTGCCCAACGTCAGCCACCCATCAGAGGACTTATGGATGACATAACAGTCACCACAGAGTCAGTCCCAGGACGTCACTGGATCCTTCAGGGGCCTGAACAGCTGATGGGGTGCAGATGGAGGTCAAGCTGCCAAATCTAGGTCCATGGTGCTGAGGAGAAGGAAGGTGGATGACGGTTCAGTATCGGAGATACTACCTTCCCAACCATTACATGGAAGCCTGTTAGGAGACAAAATGTTTGGCAGCATCCTGAAGGACACAACAGTCATCAAGTCGGCTGCACTAAGTTGGATGGCTGGCTGAGATCAGTGGACCGGACTGACCTACTGGGGTAATTTAAAGCGGGGCTGTACCAGCATGTCATTCCTCCAAGAGTCCTGTGGCCACTCCTGGTTTGCCAAGTGTGAATCTCGACAGTGGAAACCTTGGAGCTGAAAGTCAGCAGCCACCTCCGGAGCCTGAGTAGCACGGCTCTCTATGGTCATCAAAGCAACCTGTGACTGCCACTCAAGTCCTTGGAGGAGGAGCTCAAGGTTACAAAAGCTGGGAAAGTGTCGCTGTACAGAGGGTCAAGCGATCTGAAGGTGGCCAGAGCTGGGATAATGGTGAGGACTGGCAGGAAGTGAAGGGAGGAGGAAGGGGTTTAGTCAAGATGGGAAAATATGGTGGAGAGGAAGGTGACCTGGGCTGAGCTGTGGAAAGCTGAGCCACTCAGCATCAAATTCCTTATCAAGGTTGTTTATGATGCTTCCCAGCCAATCTAATAGAGGGGGGGGGGGGGCAAGGTAGAGACACCAGCCTGTCCTCTGTGTTCCATGCATGGATCCCTGGAGCTCATCCTAAGATGCTGCCCAAAGACACTGAGTGAGGGGAGGTGCTGTTGGAGGCATGACCAGGTCCTGAAGGTCACTACTAAAGCCTTCAGCTCAGGAGTGGAATGGGCTAAATGTTCCTGCCCCTCCAGACTGGTGATCATCTTCATCAGAGCTGGGGGAGCAACCAAGATCTGCTGCAAGAACCTCAGCAGGTGTCCTGGACCAATCTGGATGGAGCACAAGGTGTCTCCCTGTGGAGGTCGGCTGCAGGTGCTTTGCAGCCTGATTTTCAACTAAAACCTTCAGTTGGCATTGAAGGTGAGAGGAAGAGAAGAGCTGCAGCACCATCAGAGCGACAGAGAAAGCTTCAAGATGGCTGTGGCTGAAGAGAGGGGAGTCATGGGGGCAGAGGAGCCCATAAGCCACCTGGACACAAGCTGGGGTCTGATCAGTCCCAGCCGGGTCGCCTGGAGGAGGGTGTATGATGTTGAAAGACCCGAAACACCCTGTGATTCCAGGAACATCACTGAGGATGTGAGCAGGAGCATCACTAGATGTATTTGCACTGCAACAGAAGAATTTAGGAATTAATATTTTTCTATTAGTCCAAATTCCTGTAGTTCATGAAATATGCATTGAAACTTTTTACTACATTGTAATAAATCCATCAGTACATTTCCCATGAGGTGTTTCCATATGATTGCTGGTTCTCCTGCATCCCAGTTACTGTTGGTATCAGGGTTGTAACAGTGCACTGTCCAGCTCTTATACTGTAATGTGGGTCACAGAGGCTTTTACTTTGAATAAGGATCTTCTGCTGCTAATGTGTGTAAAATGATCATCTAACAGCTCATGATCAGATAGATGAATTTTAGTTTAATTTGTCCTTGAGGAATGAATGATCATTAATGGTCTGACATTGTTAAATATTTGTCCTATATTTTCGTGTAGCTGCGTGACGCATGATGGGTTAAATTTAACATATAATTATAAATCCCATTTTTATTTCATCTTTATTTTATTTGTATTTCTCACTTGTTTTCATTTTGCAGTTTCATGGCAGGAAATTACCCTCAACACTCTGATAGCTGCATTTCCCATCATTATGGTTGGTGTCCTAACAGGTAAGTTTAAGTGTAATTAATGGATATGAATCATTAAAGTAAAGCAGGATAAAGCAGCAGCTCCTGGTAAAATATTAAACACACTGTGGTGCATCTTTGAAGATGCCAAACATACTTCAGTGTTTTAGCACAAACTGTTCATTTTTCATCTCATTACTGTACAGACTTTAGGTGATTTTATTGTTCTCGGCACCTCAGGCTTTAAAATACCTTTAAATCAGAGCTCGATTCCCCCCTGAATCCCCAGCTTACTCCCCCATGCAGTAACCCAGCTAAGAGGGACGGTCCTTAGCAGGGTGGGTAAGACAAGGACCTGTAACCTGAAGTTTCCCAGCCCAAGTCCTGGGAGAAGCTCGGCCTGTTTACCTTTAGACAGGTGCTGAACCTGAACTGCTCCAGTGCCCAGCTGTCTGAAAGGGGACGGTTTTAAATAGATAAGAAATGAGGATTATTTAACATTAGGGCTGCATGATATTGGAAAAAATTCACATCACAATGTTTGATATTTTTGCAATAAATGTTGTAATATTTATTAAACAAAAAAGAAGCTGAAAATAAGCTGCAGCCTTATGTCATATAAGTCAGTGGTGTTGCCACAAATTATAATAATAAATAATACATCTATAGTTACATTTATACATATAGTTACACTTATATAGCGCCTTTCACAATCCCAGGGTCACAATCCCAGGGCCTTTCACAATCCTGGAAAAGTGAGGAGATTATTATTAGAGGATCTGAGAGGGTGAGCAGGGAGTCAGTAGTTCACTGAGGTAGTGAGGAGTGAGGTCATGCAGAGCTTTATAAGTGAGAAGCAATATTTTGAATTTGATCCAAGGCAGAACCGGTAACCAGTGTAGCTGAGAGAGGATGTGATGTGATGTGAGAGCAGCGTTTGCTGTGAGTGAGAACTCAAGCTGCTGAGCTCTGAATATACTGAAGCTTTTGTATAGATTCTGCAGGGAGGCCAATGAAAAGGGAACTGCAGTAATCAATATGGGACGTAATAAAAGCATGAACCAGAGTTTGGGCATCAGTACTGGACAGAAATGGGAGCAGACAAGCGATGATATGGAGGGGAAAGAATTGAGGGGAGAGGAATTTCATATGAAGATCAAAGTTAAGTGAGGAGTCAAATAGTACGTAAGATTTCTGATAACTGTAGCAGGTATGCAATCAGTAAGTCTTCTGGGAGGGGGGTCAGTGGAGGAGTGTGTACTGAGATATAACTGAATATTATCAGTATAGCAGTGAAAATTATGGTCATATCTGCAAGTGATCTAACCAAAGGGGAGGATGTAGATTAGGAAGAGGAGGGACTGGAATGGCTGGTATAGTGCATTACCATGCATTAATAAAGGCATGTAGCTGTGTGGCTACAACTCTTTCCATCACTTTAGCCAGAAATGGAAGATTTGAGGACTATAGCTTGGGAGAGACGATTGATCAAACTCAGGTTTCTTGAGGATAGGAGTAACTGCAGCAGCTTTGAGAGAAGAAGGGACAGAACAGGAAGAGAGAGTGTTTATCAGTGATGCAATTGGAGAATTGATTATAGAAGAACATGCTTTAAGTAGAGGTGTAGGGGCTGGTCGAGCTGACAGGAGGAAGAGAGAGAGGCAACAGGCGTATAGCAGGGGAGTTTTATAACTGGAGTAGTAAAGTCAAGGTTAAAGGGGGAGAATAACTGAGAAGTAGGAGGAAAATTATCGTAGATTTGGTTAATTTTGGCTTAAAAATGTAAAAATGCCTGGCACTGCTCAGCTGCATTGGGCCATGCTGGTACAGGAGGTCTGAGGAGTTTGTTAACAGTCCTAAGGAGTGACTGTGGCCTAGACTTAGCACCACTTATGATAGAGGAGTAGAAGTTTGAGTGAGCAGTATTAAGGGCGTCCCTGTACTTGTGGATGTGCTCAGTGTATAAAAGCATGTGCACAGTGAGACCAGATTTCTTATAAAGGTGTTCAGGACGCCGGCCAGCGACCTTCATTATTCTGAGCTCAGGGGTGAACCAAGGACAAGAGCGAGTGGCTGGGATCAGCCTGGTCTTTAGAGGGGCTACATCATTAAGCAGTAGAGAGATAGTATCATTATAGAAGGAAATCATAGTATCAGGAGAAGAGAGTTTATGTAAGTCAGACAGGGAAGAGGATAGAACAGAACCAGCAATGACATTAGAACTGACAGATCTAGTATTGTGGTACTGTATGTGACAGATTGTCTTATGAGGAGGAGTATTAAAGTGGGTACCACTTTACAAAAAGGCTTCTTTTGCCACTTATAAATGGTTGTAATTCCTTAATAAAAAGAAAACATATAACTTGTTTATAAGTGTCTATTAATGATTTACAAAGTGTTACAACCTGATTAATAACCTGCTTATAAACCATTCATAATCCCTTTATAAATGTAGCATAATGCAATACTCATTCTCCATTACAACAGGGATCTTAGAGGACACAAAGAAGTCTGGTACAGACAAAAAGTCAATAACAGTTTATTCATACATAAACCCCAGTAAAAGAGCATTGGCAAGTAATGTGCTGCCCAATGGCCCAGTAACGTCTAACGGCCAGGCCTGAGACTCGCACACATGCAGCGAATTGAGGTCTGAATAACTTCTGTTAACCGGCACCACACTCAAATACGATCATCCACAGCACAGCACAATGCACTAACAGCAAGGGACATGAAAGAAACACCACAGCAAATCCACAGCAGTCAGTTACACTGGGCAGCTGCTAATTGGCAACATTTTCTTATCCATGTCCTTAAAAAGACTACACCTCCCCCCCCCCAACAAAGAAAAGACAAAAAAACACAATAAAACAAATACAATACCCAACTAAATAACAATTCCCTATAATACTTGGAGGTAGATTAGTAGAATGTAAAAGGGGAAAAGCGGCACAGATACTCTGGAATACTCTCTGTAATAAACCACAAACACATATAAGCACACAGACATTTAATCTTAAATCAATTATACCCCACATACTCTCCATGACACGCCATTCTGGATTAATAATCATTAACCCCCTTCTTTTAACCACCCTCATTCCATGACTTAACCAAATTAAATATAAATTAAAACATGGCTACCTTACGCTAAGAGTTCCCATGCAACGGTGTAATATATCCAATTGTTGTAACTCCAGATCACAACTAGGAACAAAGCGATATCGCTTGGTTACAATATAGTCAACAAATTACTCTAATATCACCCAAAAAATAGCATGTCATTTAACAAACAAACCACAGCTACCTACAGTACCAGCAGCAGATACGTAGCGAAGCTCTTCTCATGGCCACTGAGAGAGAGTCTCACGATATTTTCAGGCGAGCTTGAGGTTTAGAGCTTAGGAGCCAGTTCACACAGAGGCAGTGACTTAATTGTGAGCCCTCAGTGAGCTGGAGATGTGCGTTATATAAAAGACACACATTTATTTCTAACTAACACTACAGTATCATACAACAGACATTACACGTGACATCAAACAGACCACATAACAGAATAAAGCAAAACAATAAAATATAGAAATGCAGTGACCAGATTTAAATGGGTAACCTTAAAGGGGAAATGTTGTTCTGCAAAGCAGGCACATGATTTTGAAACCACACCCTCAAAGTTATAAAACATATTGACTAGCACAGATTAGATAGTTAAAATGAATAGAAGTTGGTTTACCTGGTTGCAGAGGTGATGAGCTGAGGAAGCGATGGCAACCAAGAAGGAGCGGCGTCTGGAGCGGTTCTTTGCATGGAGCCCCTTTGATTTTCTATCTTTGGTGAAGCTTTAAGATGAAAGGCTTTGTCATGAAGTTTGAGCTTTCTTCTGGGCAGCAGGCTTCAAGGCAGACTTTACAGGCGGGCTTCACCGGAGGGCTTCACCCCTCTGAGTCTGAGGCGCCGGGTTTTATGGTCTAACGTCCGGGAAAATTGATGATCAGGAACTCGACACCTGGACCAATGGCCTGGGCCATCTACTGGCGGCCTTTCGGGGGGGGCCTGTAGCAGTGATATTGGGATTTATGACTATAATGATGCCACTTTACAGTTTTTTTTCATTGAAAGCGTGTAACTTTAGATACATACAATTTCACAACAATCAATGACCAGATGATTCAGGAGCATTTTCCCATCAGTTTAACACCAAACATACCAGACAAACCTAGAGGGTCACACCTCATACAATCTACATTAATTAATTAACAATGTAACTTACACTGTCCATGTTGGTGACTCCCATCAGTACATAGTATGGGTGGTTATTGTTGCACATCACCAGATTTTACAGTTTTGCACAATTTACATTCCAAATTCCCATCCGAACAGCACATCTTAACCCTAAATAGAGTTACTGTAGGTGTGGCTGTTGGTTCACTGTAATCACAGTCTCAATTAAACATCCGTAAATGACAATTTGTGGTTGGCTTGGCTTATTTCAATGATCTGCTA